CGTATGCCTCTTTCTTGCAGGTACGTTGTAAACTCGAGACTGCGATATTCCCCAGCTCCGTCATACTGGAAGGTTTTGAGTTTTGTGTCGGACTCGCGTTCTGCGAGAGGCAGCCATGTCAGAAACGCTGTGAAGGCAAGAAAACAGTTAGTCATGTTACCAGTCCAGACGTATCAAGTAGAAGCTTCAGTGAACGTGATAACGTATTTCTCGCCATTAAAACCCTCCGCAGGTAAGTTTAAAATATCACTGTAGACTTTTTCCATCAATCGATAATCCTCAGCGCCAGGAAAATGAGTCGGGTACGGTTCGTGCGTTAGAGTTGCTGCTGGGCAGATCAAGCAGGGTGATGGTCGATTAACCGGTTTCATTTCGAAGCCGCCGGGTAAAAGAAGAGAATTCTTGTCGAGAACAGCTGCTTTGATTGTGTTGTTGAGCGTAGACTGCGACGGATGACCAAGACGCTTATGCCAGGTGTCTGCAGTTGCTTTGTGTCCCTGTGCGCGCAGATAATAATCGGCGTTAACGAAGAAAGATAACAGCAGCCGATGTCCGTCAGCGTGAACATGATCTGTGACAGGCGGGATGAACCTGGTAAGGTTAGGTGGTGGAATTTTGATTTCAACATCGATGTATTTGCCAGGTGAAAGAACTAACTCCCCGCTCTCTTGATCTGATGCTGCAGGTTTAGGCTCAGCACCGATAAGTCGTCCGGGGTCGAGAACTTCCATGTCAGCAACACGCTGCTCTGCTGCAGTGAGAAGACGTTGATCACGATCAGCAGGTGTTTCTCCCCAAGTGGTCTCGTCAGGTTCCTGTGCTCCCCAAGTGCCTTCATCCGTGGGCATATTCGTCGTATCTCCCCAACCACCAACATGAGCAAGATAATCTCGGGAGTTTTGGACGTCGTTCAAACCTTGATTGTCGAAGGTTAGCATGACAGCGGCAGCCGTGGTTGAAGACGTGGGTACAACTCCGTCACGAGGAACGGTATCATCGGTGTAATCGATGTCATCACGATGTTCCCATGGGCCAAGAGAGAGAATATTCTCAGAGTCGGCAGTGGTGCGTTCAGGTACGAAGTTGAGAACGAATACACCGTTCTGTTCAATTGCCGTGCCGAGATTCCTGTCTCCATACTTTAAAGTAAACTTGCCCGGTTCACCAAGAAGAGTAATGCCATTCCTCATGAGCTGTGCAGATGACATCAGATTGAAGCCAAGTCGAGGAACGAGGAGTACATCGTTAAGATGAAGACTGAAGTCTTCTTCAACAGAATCAAGAATGATGTTACCCATCCAGTGTGCTGTAAGATGTTGATTGTTGGCGACGGTTACAACGCATGGATTCTGAAGACGACGCTGATTGATGACGAAGCGATTTTCTGATGAACACATATGCTGGCCGCAACAACTGTCGAGATACCAAGTGTTGGGACCTTCCAAGGTATGTGCAAGGTTGGCATAGACCTCGGGTGGTATGGGCATATTAAGTTCATCGTTGAAGTTACTGTGAATACGTTCTTCAGCGTCAGGATCGTAGACGGTAGAAACTGATGTCATGCAATTAATAACCTCTTTTGCTTGTGTCTTCGCAGGTGTAGTAGGCGGCTTTGCACAGTTCGGCTTCGCAGTATTCTGCTTCGCAGCTTCCGGCTTCTCAGCTTCCGGCTTCTCATCTTCACCTGAAGAATCTTTGGTATGTTTTGATGTAGTCCGCTTCCAAGATGGTTTATCTTTCGACCAGCAGGTATCAATAGTGTGTCCTGCTTTGCGACAAAAGGAACAAACGGGTTTGTGACGTGGATTAGAATAAAAATGGACTGTATTGTTTACCACCTTTTTCCCTCCTCGAGCGTTGTGCAGGTCCATATCCTACTGCTCGGCTATGAGAGCGGCACAGAGTGCCCCCTCGGACAACTGTGCTTGCATCCGAAGAATAGAGCGACACTGTCGCCATTCTGGTCCAAGACCCGCGAGTAGCACCGTGTGAAACATAGCGTCGGGGAAGTATCCTCCACACTTCTGAAGTTGGTCGCGCAGATTTCGAGCGCGGTTAATATACTGCGTCACCTTCTTGCCGTTTATCATCTGTATATTTGATAGCTGCGTTAAATTTTTACTCTGGTTGACAATGTCCTTTGCCATGTGAACTCCTTGCAGGTATAACCAAGCTGCTTCAGCGGGAGCGGCACTGGTACGAAAAGGACAAATTCCGAGCTGTTCAGTCGGTGTCAGATTACGAACGAGAACTGTGTATGCAGTCAGCGACGCCAATCGAAAAGTGGCTTGTTGAAGTGGCGACCCGTGAGATGGAAAGGGTGCTGTGCCGTCGAACAACTGCCAGAATCCCGCGGTCTGAAGAAGAAGCTCAAATTCAAAGCTCCAGGTATAGAAGTCTTAACCGTTAAAAGGCACTGTCGTTTTAATTTTTGTTGGGTTTGCAGAAGCGGGAAGATAGTTTCCGGTACTGTCAGCTGATTGTAGCTGATAAAGTGATGGCATCTGTGACCCTTGTGGTGCTTGTTGTCCTTGTCCAGCAGGAACGAAAGAGAAGGAGTTATTCGACCCATCACTTCCTTGTGGCATCTGTCCATGCTGATAACTGGAACCATCAAGGCTCATAGGAGTTGGAAACATTTGGTTAAGTGACAAGACGGCAGCATTGACACGTTGTTGAAGATTTGCTGGCTGGTAAGCACCTTGATATTGATAAGGTCCAGTCGGTACGAAACTGGACTGTTGTCCTGGTTGACTAGAAGAACCAGTGATTGCAGCTGCAGCTGTTGTGGCTGCTGATGCTGCTGTTGCTGCGGCTGCTGTCGATGATGCTGCTGCTGCAGATGTGTGTACGGGCTGATTGCTCAGTGGCATGCCATACATCGGTTGTTGCTGATATTGTTGTTGTTGTTGTTGCTGCAGATAAGAATTGTCAGCAGCTGGAGACGCTGTTGGGCGTGATGGGCTTGTAACAAAAGAGCCATTGTTGGACCGTGGAGATCCAGACATAGTTGTAGAGTATGTAGTTGGAAGCTTGTAGTATCCTAAGACGCTCGCAATACCATGTTAGAATTTGAAGTGATTGAATAGGATCGTACTACTTAGGTGTCAGTAGATCTGCACTGTGGATGCCCGATTGATCCTGGAGAGGGTTACAGGCGCGTTCGCCTGGGGGGTTATGGGCGCACTGACCCGCAACTGAAACAAGCCCTTTTATCCCAATGGTCTAGTGGTTGGGATTCTGACATGGTATCAGAGCGGTCTCGGGTTCGATTCCCGGTGTATGCACATGTAGGCCGTTGCCGCTGTGCTTAGTCCTGGGCCTCCCAGTGTGGGGGGGTGTCAGTAGATCTGCACTGTGGATGCCCGATTGATCCTGGAGAGGGTTACAGGCGCGTTCGCCTGGGGGGTTATGGGCGCACTGACCCGCAACTGAAACAAGCCCTTTTATCCCAATGGTCTAGTGGTTGGGATTCTGACATTAGGATGGTAGCTTCCTGTCGTAGCGGAAGTCTTATATGAGTTAAAGCCAGTTATGAAGGCTTTGTCTGGACTTAATAAAAGCCCATGTAGTGATATGTTTCAGGATCAATGTCTCTGAAATCAGATATATTATAAAATGACAAACATACAGAATATATAGCTAGAGTAAAGTACCTGTTCCAGGGCTGATTTTATCAGGGTAATTACCCTGATTTCAGGGTGATTTCAGACTTGTCACTTTCTGGACCCTGAGAAATCAGGTTTTTCACATTTTGGTCCCTGATCCATTCAGAGTATTGCTTTAGCGGACCCTGAAATTTTGTGTACACTCTCAGTGTAGGGTTTTCACGGACCCTGTCAATACAGAGTACGAGGCCTGTGGACCCTGAATGCGATGTTATCGGGGCGAAGTTTCTCGGAAATTTCCTCCTGATAACCCCTTCGCATTGATTTCAGTGCCCCCCACGTGCGTAATCCTCCCCCCCCCCCCCCTCGCTTTATCGAGACGAAGTTTCTTCGAAGTTTCGTTCCCATACACCCACCATCTAGATCGGGCGAATCTGTAATGTCAGATTTTAGGTTGTTGTTATTGGTCGAAATAGATGTGCTCTAACACAGCGCCAGTCACATCGCCAGAGTGCCAGTCACATCGCCACAGATGTCATGAGTGAGTGAGACTTCTGTCCTCGGTAAAGAAAGAGCGCGTTACTACGACCCTGATTTTCAATTCTCGACCCTGAACATTCAGAGTTCACTACTTCTCAACCCTGAACAATCAGGGTGCTGTTTTTCTGGAAAATGTGCCTTCAGGATAAAAAAATAAAATTAGGTTGAAATCAGGGTACCTAAAATTGAAAAGTCAGCCCTGACCTGTTCGCCTACTGTACTGTGCTATTCTTGTTCTGAAACGGTACGTAACTTTTCGCGGGGTCTATAGCTATGTGCTGACGTCATCCTAGGGCGCGTAGCGCTTTGCTGACGTCAGCCTATCGGTTCTTTACTGTTACGTGCGAAATCTCGCACTGTACTACACGAATCCTTGAAGTGCTTAAGTCTTCATATTATCTCAACATCCTTGAGATCCACCCTGCACTTTGCTTTGCTTTGCTCTCTTGCTTGACTGGTCTTGTGACCGTTCGTTGTGTTAGCTATCCCCAACTTTGCCTATGAGGGTGTGTCAAATTACATTTGTATGTGTAGGCTGTAGTGGGGTAGCCCCTACTGAGTACAACACTTCAGGTCAAACCTAGTACTTGTACTCATCCTTGCTTGCTTGTCAATCATTCCTGCACAGTTGATTCTGACATTTTTTTGCTTCTGCAACAATATTTCAGTAAGTCTAGACTCTACAAAGATCCTATGGCTACACTCAGCCCAACAAGTATCACACTATAATCAAACTATTTCACCAAACCAATATGAACAGTAACAGTTGTGTGTGTGTATGTGTGTGTTCTGTTTGGCAAAGCACTTTGAAAAGCGGCAAACATGTGTTGTGCCAACAAGAGCAAGCACTCTCTATTGCTCGAAATAACTGAGGCTGGGCGGCGGGGAGTCGGGCGGCGGAATGAGGGCAGTGGGGGGGTAGTCCACGCGCATGAGGGAGAGCCCCTGGGGCTTGGCGGTGGGCGCCACGCGAGCCAGCTGGCGTCGGTCCCCCGAGAGCAGGAGGTCCGTGACTATAGAGGGGGGCAGCGTGCACGCTCCTATTTGCAGCAGTAGGCCCACCTGGAGAGAGGAGGCGTAGGGAGTGACGCAGAGAGACGAGAAGGGAGGACAGTGGGAGAAGGATGAAGAGGAGGGCAAGCGCAAAGCAAAGTGTGCAGATACCCACAGCATGTGGGCTAGGCTGGCAAGAGGGGGCAGCGAGAACATGGAGACGGCAAGAGCGGTTGCAGATATGGAGCGCTGTGAAAGGAGAGGCAGGGACGACGGCGCCAATCATAGGAGCTGTGCCTCACCACACTGCATCTCACCACACTGCATCTCACCACACTGCATCTCACCACACTGCATCTCACCACACTGCATCTCACCACACTGCATCTCACCACACTGCATCTCACCACACTGCATCTCACCACACTGCATCTCACCACACTACATCTCACCACACTGCATCTCACCATGTTGCGGACCTGCCGATAAAGAAACCCCGATCCATCCACCTCAAAGCGGAACACGGGTGACGGCTCCCCCTGCACTCACGGGGAGACACACAGCAGCAAGCGTGAGGGGCTTGGGTGGATGATGCAAAGAGGAGATAAGAGTCGTGCCACGATGCATGGTGCCAAGATGCGTGGTGGGACTGTATAGCTCACAAACCATACAAGACAGCGCCACCGTAGCATCACACCCCTTTAACCCCCCCTTTATTCCTGCCAAAACCAGTTCAGACCGAGGCATCTTCCCCACAGCGCCCTTCTTCTTGTCCTCCAACAAAGGGTATCCGTCTGGTGTTCTTAGCTAGCAATACTCCCTCATACTTCAACCACCCCCCCCCCCCCCCCCTCCCCATCCCCCCCACTCCAAGTGGGTCGCACCTCATCCACCACGCCCTGCCAGCAGTCCGTCTCCCCCACCAGCTCGAACCGTGTGATCTCCCTCACCGCGCCCTTCTCCTTCGCCTCACACGCGTTCGCGAACGCCGCAAAGTCCCGTCGCCCCTCGAACAGCCGAGCCGCCTGCGCCATGAGCTGGCGGTCCAGCGGGCCGCGCGAGTAGGAGAGCAGCGTGGAGCGGCGGTGCGGCAGCAGGTGCGGCACGGGGCTGTTGAGCACAGTGTAGTGGTAGTGCTTGCTGCATGGATGCAGGCGCGCGTGGAAGGACAGCGGCACGGCGCGCAGCGAGCGCACGCGGATGGCGGGCGGCAGCAGCGCGTTGAGGGCGCGGTGCATGCGGGGCAGGTCGCATATGGGGGAGGCGGTGGTGAAATGGGCTACCTGATGGGACGGAGGGAGGGCAACAAGTGGGCAGAGGAAGCGAGTGACTCAGTGTGCTGCATCAATGACTCGATGAGATTGGTCCTCGCATGACTCGATGAGATTGGTCCAAATGCTGGCACTGCTCTCACGCTGGGAATGCCAACCACCAAGCACGCCTTGCATACCTGCCCCCAGGCATGCATAACTGCCCCCAAGCATGCATACCTGCCCCCAGGCATGCATACCTGCCCCCAGGCATGCATACCTGCCCCCAGGCATGCATACCTGCCCCCAGGCATGCATACCTGCCCCCAGGCATGCATACCTGCCCCCAGGCATGCATACCTGTCCCCAGGCATGCATACCTGCCCCCAGGCATGCATACCTGTCCCCAGGCATGCATACCTGCCCCCAGGCATGCATACCTGCCCCCAGGCATGCATACCTGCCCCCAGGCATGCATACACCTGCCCCCAGGCATGCATACCTGCCCCCAGGCATGCATAACTGCCCCCAGGCATGCATACCTGCCCCCAGGCATGCATTCCTGCCCCCAGGCATGCATACCTGCCCCCAGGCATGCATACCTGCCCCCAGGCATGCATACCTGCCCCCAGGCATGCATTCCTGCCCCCAGGCATGCATACCTGCCCCCAGGCATGCATACCTGCCCCCAGGCATGCATACCTGCCCCCAGGCATGCATACCTGCCCCCAGGCATGCATACCTGCCCCCAGGCATGCATACCTGCCCCCAGGCATGCATACCTGCCCCCAGGCATGCATACCTGCCCCCAGGCATGCATACCTGCCCCCAAGCATGCACGCCAGCGTCGGTGCGCGAGGCACCGGTGACGCCCAGAGCGGCGCTGCTGGCCCGCGTGTACGTCACCAGCGCCGCCTCCACCGCCCCCTGCACTGTGGCCCGCTGCGCCTGCCGCTGCCAGCCTGCCCTGGCGGGGTGGGGCAGAGAGGCGAGTGGCGAGGAGTAGAGAGGGGGGGGGGGTAGAATGGGGAGGAGCAGAGGTCAAGTGGGGGCTCATGCAGCATGCGTGCGCCATGTGCCATGCACCATGCACCATATACAATGCACCATGCGCTATGCACACCACACCATATACCTTGCACCACGCAAGCACCACGTACCATGCACCATGCACCATGCACCATGCATCCTGCACCATGTCCACACAGCATCATGTGTGGGATCGCTTTACATCACTTCGATGTGCTCCTTCACGGGGGCGCCAGAAGGCATGCGGCGGGGGGCATGCCGTATGCGCGTCTCACCATAGAAGTGCGTGCCGTCGTATGCCAGCACCATCATGTACCTCCGCCGCCCCTCCCATGACTCATCGCCGCCGCCATTGCTGCTGCCCTTGCCCTCTCCACCTCCTTCCGCCTCCCACACGCTTCCTCCTGCCTCTGTGCCCTCCATTTCACTCCCACTTTCACTTTCTCCACCTCCCCTCACCATTTCCTCATCCCCCTCATTTTCCTCCTCATCGCCCCTCTCGCCCCACTCTGCGCTCGCCCGGATCCTTCCCCCGCCAATCCTCTCCCCCGTCCTCCCCCCCGTCCTTTCCCCCGTCCTCCCCACCGTCCACTGAGCCCCTCGCCCATTGACTAGCCAGGAGCCGCGCGCAGCTGACGTCATCGCCCAACCGCACCCGCGCTGCCGCCTCTCCGCCCATCCCCGCGCCCTCGCGACTTCCGCGCCCCTACCAGCCGCAGCTGCGCGCACCGTCCGCCTCAGCTGGCCCATCCGCCTCCCCGCTTCCCCGCAGCGCATCGCGCCGCCATCAAACCGCTCCGCGAGCGCAGCAGTGGCTTCGGCTGCGCGACGTGGCAGGTAGCCATTGGCAGCGAGGCATAGTGTGCGAGAGTGGTGACAGCAACGAGGAGGCGCGGACGTGAAGGGGAGGATGGGGCAAGAGGCAATGCGGGGCATGTGGGAGACGCGTGGGTGGAGGCAATCCAAGAGCAATAACGTGTTACCTAATCCTTGGCTCCCTAATCGCCTCTCCCTGCTTAGCGTGACCTACACTACTAGCGAGAGGCGGGGTGAAAGGATGTAGGGAATATATAGCGGTTGGGCTGGGTAACGATTGTGGCTAACCACCACAGAAGTTAAAACAAAATTGAAAAACATTCCAAAAGGAAATTTCATTTTCCTTATCAGGGTTGACTCCTTCATGTACAACCCGCATTTTCGGACTTCTCACGTTCGGCCGACATCCAAGATTCCAAGGCTACTCCGCGTCGCCTTCGGTTTTCCCTTCGCCAAACCTGCTTCCAAGTTCCAACCTCGCATTCTCGAGGTTCTTATTACAATATGGAATTGTTGAATAACATGTCAAATGTTGTAGCCTATAGTGAGGCTTGTCATGGGGGGTACAGTTGTTAAGGTTAGGTATATGTACCCCAACTCACAGTAATACACACATCATTTCCGTTCCTGACATGGTATAGCCTAGGTTAGGATACTGTTGGATCCCGTTCCTCCCTCTTGAGCCTCTCGCGCCCGTTGTGCCGAGCCTACCACGCCCGTAGCGCCCGTCCCGTCCCCTAGCGCCCGTTGCGCCCGTCCCGTCCCCTCCCCTCGCGTCCGTAGCGCCCGTCCCGTCCCGTCCCTCGCGCCAGTCGCGCCTCCCTGCCCGTCGCGTCGCGCCCTGCTCGTCCCATCGCGTCGCGCCCGTCCCGTCCAGTCCCCTCGCGCCCGTCGCACCTCCCTGCCCGTCGCATCGCGCCCTGCCCGTCCCGTCGCGTCGCGTCCGTCCCGTCCCGTCCCCTCGCACCTATCGCGCCTCCCTTCCCGTCGCGTCGCGCCCTGCCTGTCCCGTCGCGTCGCGCCCGTCCCGTCCCGTCCCGTCCCCTCGCGCCTATCGCGCCTCCCTGTCCACCGCGTCGCGCCTTGCCCGTCCCGTCGCGTCGCGCCCGTCCCGTCCCGTCCCCTCGCGCCCGTCGCGCCTCCCTGTCCGTCGCGTTGCGTCCGTCCTGTCCCGTCCCCTCGCGCCCGTCGCGCCTCCCTGCCCGTCGCGTCGCGCCCTGCCCGTCTCGTCGCGTCGCGCCCATCCAGTCCCGTCCCCCTGCGCCCGTTGTGCCTCCCTGCCCGTCGTGTCGCGCCCTGCCCGTCCCCATCAGCTAGGGTCTCCTCCGCCAAACTAAGACGTGGCAGCAGTAGCTCCCTCTCCTCCGCATCAGCTATGGCGACGCCTAGGGTCCTGCGCTTTGATGCCGAGGGTAGGCCGCTGTAGTTCTCTGTCTAGCTCCTCCGTACGCAGCGCCTACTAGAGAGTCAGTGTCAGGCTGATGAGTCCCTCTGGGCGCACGCCTCCGGTGACCTTCATGCGCCCTCTGCTCCTGAACCCCTAGGCGCTGACCCCACTACTGCGGACAGAGAGCGTTTTGCACGTCAGCGCGCTGCCCTGACAGCCAGGAAGTCGCGCGACGCCGCGGCCTTCATTGCCCTCAGTTGCCTCCTCCCTGAGTCTGAGGAGACCCACTTCACCCAGGTTCGCATTGCTAGCGAGTTCCTGACTGCGATCAAGGCCCGCTACTCCACTCCCACCCCTGTCTCTCTTGGTCGCCTGTTCCTCCCGTTCCTGTTTCTTGATCTTTCCTCGTTTGAGCATTCTGCTGACCTGATTGCTCACCTGTGTTCGCTGGATTCTAGCTACCTCGCTGCCTGCACTGATGCACAGCTTGCACTGCTCCCCCCCCTCCCCCCCCCCCCCCCCATGGCGATTAATACTTATTTTATCGTCACTAGCCTCCCTGACCGCCTTGCCACAGTTCGCGACACGCTTATTCTGAAGCACCCTAGCGAGCTCACTATCGAGGTCCTTGAGTCTGCACTCAAGGACGTCAAGAGCAACCTTCGCTCGGTAGCCCCCGCCTTTGGCGCTGTGCCCCCCCCACTGTTCCACGGGTGCACTGTCCCACAGCTGCCCACCTTTACTGCCTCCCTCGCCGCTACCGCTACTGACGAGACCGCAGCTGCTGTCACGACTTCTGCGCGGTCTAGAGTTAGGAGTGGCAGGAGGGGCGGCCAGGGTGCAGCCAACAGCGGAGGCGGCGGAGGTGGCGTGGCGAGTGACGGTGGTGGGAGTGCAGGTGTTGGTGGAGCGCCTCGTGCAGCTTCTAGTGGCTCCCCTGTTGCAGCTGGTGGAGGTGACGCTCGGGTCCGTCGGCATCTGCGGGGCTGCCAGCTGCAGGTGCTGGGGTGGCGGCTTGGTACTTGGCTCAGCAGCAGCAGCAGCAGCAGCAGCAGTAGCCAGAGCAGCAGCGGGGGCAGCAGCAGGTTTAGCGGCACGGGTAAGGACCGTGTCAGGTGTCGCGTGGTGACGCCCACCCACTCTGCCCCTACCTCATCCAGACAGGTACTCGCAGTGGCCTCCGCTGCGACCGCCGTCACCCACCAGGTCAGTGCTTTGCTCGGCTCACTGACAAACTTCGCGCGGCCTATCGTGCAGACGGCCCTGCCCCTGACTGGCTTCCCCTTGTTCTCTCGCACGGTCCGGCACTGTGGGACATGTCTGCTTCTCAGTTACTTGAACTCTCAGGAACCGCCAATGCTATGTATGCTGTTGTTGACTCTAGTGCTTCTGACTCTATTTGCTCGCGTGTTTTTAGCTTAGGTGCTAGTGTTGATCGTGTGCCAGTTGCTAGTGTAGGTGTTTGTGTAGGCGCTAGTCCAGGTGCCACTTTGGCGGACGCGTCGCTGTCTTTCACGCTGGACTCTGGTGTGTCGCACCGTTTCTTCCGCGACCACATGACTCTTACTCCGCTTCTTGCACCGTTCTCTGTCGCACTGGCTGATCCCACTTTGGGACCAGTCATTGCTCGCCACTCTACTACGCTTCCGTGCCCGGCTGTTCCTTCAGGTTCTCTGACAGGCCTCCACATCCCCTCGTTCTCTAGGAGCTTGGTGGGTGTGCAGCCGCTCGTGAGTCAGCACGTTGGTGTTTGGTTTGAGCCTTTTGGGGACTCTGCGACTAGTGTGGACGGTGACACGTACGCCCCCCTGGCCACCTTGTTATAGTCTAGAGTCCACTTAGGGGTCGCGGATGCCCATGAAACCGCCTAAGCTGAATCTGATGACTTCAAGCTGCCTCTGTTCAAAACGCCGTCACGATCAGCTCCAATATTATACGATAACTTAGCTTCAGGTGTCTGCTTTCCAACTGTATATTGCTTGCTTTCATCAGAGGTGTATGCGCTACGCAGTGAACAAAAACGTAAGCTCGGCTGAAAACGTGTAGTTTCATTGATGCAAGGAAGAGCTGAGTACAACATGCCTAGGGAACTCTTAAAGCGACGGGCAACTTTTGGCAGTGTTGGGTTCAGAAGTTTTTTTTTTGAACCAGGCTTGCCAGCGCGAAAGTGCTGGCTGGCGAAAACCAGGATTTCGTGCGGACACTTTCCATCCGCAGTAACAGTTCGCCAGGGTTCTGGGTTTTGGGTGGCAAATGTGCACCGTCGCTTTAAGGGGTTGGGACCATCCTGGGAACTCATAGAAGGTTGATTTCTAGGGGAAAAAGGCTAGAGAAGGATGGGAAACGTCCTAGCTAGGTCAGCAAAGCCAACCACTCTTGGATGTTCAGAGCTGTACTCAAGGCTACCAATAGTGAGTCAAGCCAACCATGAGTCAGCTTGTCTTCCCATTTGCACTCTCTTGCAAGCTGCTTCCAGGAAGACCACACTTCTCAAAAGGAGGGTGGTAGAGTCCCACTTGACCACCTTTACTTCTTGTCTCATACTCTGTCCCTGCACCATTGGCATGACAACAATGAAAGGGTGGCAAGGGAAATGCTGCCAACAGTGCACCATGATTACGGAACAGTAACCTTCGACAGCTGTCACGTGCTGCTCCAATGCTGGGTTGTCCTGAAACTCGGTGACCACCTGAAAAACACAGCAAAGGACTGCCATACCGATTTTCAGACCAATCAGAGCTTAGTAGATGAGTCAGCAGCCGAAATGGTGAACTCGGGTGTTACAAAAAAAGAGTAACACAGACTTCCGGGATGCCATAAGTCTTGAAACAAAAAATGTTGCCATGCCTTGTAAACTGCTTTGAAAATTCTGAAACTTTGAGGGTGTGAAGAACAAATGTTGAAGCACCTCCCCACAAAATTCCAGAAGCTGAGCAGCTTGTAGGCTGAATGGGAGTGCGATGACCGTGCCACTATAGTGCTTTGGCACAACACACCTTTCGCCAGGAGCCGGGTTCTGGTCTCTACATGCTTCACACTGGCCCCCGAGAGAGTCAGCAGCAGCAGCAGCAGAAGCAGCTGCCTCCAACCCCTGTCACTGCTCTCCGTCAGGTCCCAGTGTCCCACTAGGTAGTTGTGTCTAGTCAGGTTACAGTGTCTGGTCCGGTCGCTACTTCTTGCTCGTGTCGGTCGCTTGCCCACCCCACCGTTCTGCGGCACCACCATCTTTGTCACCCATCCCTTCCTCGCCTTCACACTATGTCTAGTCAGTGTCTTGTCGTCTTGCCGTCTCGCAAGACAAGACGTCTTGTCGTCTTGCCGTCCTGACTGTTTAATCCTCCTGCGAGTCTTGCCGTCGCTGCCGCCTTCGCGTGCACCACCTTGCGACCCTTGTGTTGAGGGTCGTCTGCGCGCCACCCCTCACTCCTCCTCCCTTCGTCCTGCCACCGAGCCCTTCGAGACTCTCGACTTGGACGTCTTGGGCCCGCCTCTCGCCCTGGTCCTGAGCGAGAGAGTTTCTTTCTGGTGGTCGTCGACGACTACTCTCGCTACACCACCGTTTTTCCTTTGGCGAAGAAGTCCGACGTGACTTCTACGCCGATCCGGTGGTTGCTCGCCACAGAGGGTACTCGTCACCGTCATGTCAGTTGTCTTCACTCCAACCGCGGGGGTGAGTTTCGCCGGCCGTCCTTGCCGGATTCTGTCGCGAGCAGGGCATCCTCCAGTCCTGGAC